TGGGGCGTTTGAAATACTGTGTAACTCCAGAATATATCCGGATGGCTTATTTTGCTTTTTTTCAATCAATAATTAAGTACTGCTTGCTTGTCTGGGGCAATTGTTCAAGAATTGACGAAGTGTTTAATATTACAAAAAAAAGCTGTTAGAATTATTGATGGTTCAGCTGATCTTGAACATTGTATAGGCCTATTTTTATTAAATTAAAGATTTTTACTGTTATTAACCTTTATATTTTAGAACTTGTTATTTATTCTTTAAAAAAACTACCAGTCATGGTCCTGAATGAAGATGTACATCCCTACAATACTCGTGGTAGACATCAAATAAGTTACCAGCACCTCCGTTTGAGCAAATCTTTAAATAGCCATGTTGTTATGTGTAAGAAAGCTTATAATAAGGTAGTTATTAATGTAAATAAGTACCTATCCACAAAAAATATTTTTTTTAAATTCAGTGACTGGCTCTTAAGAAATCCTTTTTACAGTATTGAAGAGTTCCTAGAACAACCTGTGATAAGTTTGTAACTTTGTATCCAAATCTGTTAATTATTTCTATATAGTCTATTTTTGTTTTCTTCAACTTTGTTAATTGTTCATTTGTTAAATTGTTTATAGTCTATTGTGATTGTTAACCCTGTAGTTAAAAGGAATTTGTACAACATAAACTCATACCCAAGTTACCCCTGATTATTTAGACAATGAACATTGAAATTTTATGTTCTGCTCCACTGACAATGTCAATGCATGTAAATGTCCATGATAATAAATTATTTGATTTGATTTGATTTAATATTGAACTAGCCTTAGCCTCTTTTCCCTAACATAATATCAACAACATAATTTGTTTCTTATTCATAAATTTGTGTGTTATAGTTGCATATTGCATTCATTCAGAAGTAAATATAAAATACAAGTAAATAATTCCTTGGTATAAAAAAACAGTGCTTATGTTTGTTATATATTTATGTTATCCTCCTATGTTTTTAACTATTTTAGAGCGTTTAAAATCGGTTTTTTTTACAAAGATAAATTACCGTATTTTATGTTATTAGTGACTTTTAATTTGTAACATATTTATAACTTAAAGGCTGTTTAAAAGCAAAATTTTTGGACTGATCAAGAAAGTAACAGAACAGTAATTATCTTAAAACTGCTTGAGTCACCTGTTCAGGTTACATAATTCCTGGTTATAAAAATTTGGTAAAACAGGTGATGAATTGGAATTGCCAGAAATGAAACCTTTTGCAACCAAAAATGTTTTTTGTAAACCGACGTAGCCTAAGAGTTGTATGTCTTAAAAATCAATAGGAAATAAGTGTATTGTTCGATTGTAATAATGTTCCAATGATATACTATAATTTTATTTTTAAGGTGTTTATTTTATGGTGTTGATAACAGAATACAATTTCAATACTCAAAACGGAGTTATACAAAATGCAGGTCAACGTTGAAATACCTTTTTCATAGCAACTAAAACAAAACGCCTAGTAAACTCAAAGTCAGTTATTTAGGCTCCATGGCATGAAATAGTTTAATAATCAATATTAAGCAACCTTTTTCATGAAGATCTGTCTCTGTTCCTTCATGATTTCAACTAACAGTTGTAGGAATATTATTTATTGCTTTCTCTGTAAAAATATAAACAAAATAAATATTTTATAAAGGGTTTCAGCATTTTTCACTGAACCCAATATTTAGGCCTACACTTAAACAATGTTATAAATGGTACCAAAGGGAAACCCTGGTTATTTTGGGAGTGGAACCACGCTGATCGGTATAAAAATCCCAGAGAAATTGGTGAACATCTATAGGAAAAATACATTGGCACAAACGAATTGAGAACCTCATTTTTTTTGTTGGTAGTGGGGAGAAGTCGGTGAAAAATACTCACAAGTAACAAATACAATAGATGGCTATTCAAATAGAAGAACAATTCATTTAATTATCAACATCACATTAACTAAACTAGAACAATCGCAATAAAACACTGGTGTTACAAATACTGAAATACAGTTAGCCGAGGCTCCGAGGCTCTGCAAGTACAAATCACGCTGTATGGAGTCAAGCTGGGTGTGAGTGTCGTGTGTAGGCCTATGTGCCAAGGTGGTATTCCTTGCTCGCTGGTGCTGGCGCGCGGGGCGTGTGGACGCGCGTGTGAGAGCTATAACCAATGATATAAACACGGTAAGAGTGTGTTTGTGTGTGTGGCTGTACGGCGAGACCTCTAGCGCTCCTAGCCTGACAGTACTGAACTACGTGGGCCAGCAACTACGCCGTACAAGCAGCTCGAACATACCGAGCCCTATCCCGGGGAGAATCTACTAAGGGAGTATGTTTAATCTATGGTTCTGACCCGCGGTAACTGCAACAAGCCTTCCTGACGAGTACTGTGCTCACAAACCTCAGATCTTCGTTGTACCAACTTGGTATTCAGATACTGAGGCTGGTTCGTCAGCAGCGTCTTGTGAACCAAAATTGATTTGGAGATCAGAGATATGCTGTATGGATAGTGTATGAGCTTTCAATCTGAATTCACTAATATGGTCAAATTTCTTAAAATTATAAACAAACCTCAGTGCATTATTCTGGAGCCTTGTCAGTATTTTGATTTTTTCTTTTGTTTGACAAGCAGAAAAAGTAGAGAGGCAGTAGTTAATAGATGGATGAACCACTGCTTGCATTATTTGAAGTTTTGCTGTAGCAATATGAACAATATGAACCAACCAATAAATATAAAATAAGCAATATGAACCTCAACCTGTGTAACCGTCTCAACTTGCCAACAGGAACACGACAGATACGGCTCACCTGCTCAGAAAATGTAAGAGTATCATCCAGATGGACACCAAGGACTCTTAACGAAGAACAAAGTGATAGGCGTATCATCCAATGAAATCATCATACTCCTACTAGAATTCAGTCTGCCCTGCAGAGAAGAATTACTGACATGCAAAACTGAGCACTCATCAGGATTTAGTTGCAGTCCATGATCATCAGCTACCATTTCTTAACCACACTCAGATCAAAGTTCACATCCCTGATCGCGTCAAGGAAATTCGGAGATAGAAAGAAAGCAATAGGGTAATATGTGTGTCATCTGAATATGAATGAATAGCACTTACCTCAATTGACTCCCAAGGTCGGAAGTGTGAATCAAGAAATAGATCAGCCCTATGCAAATACCTTGCGGAACACCTCTAATCTTTGGCAAAAAGTCTGAACCTTTCAGATCAACCTTAGTCTGTTGGGACCTGTTGTTTAGGTAAGAGGAAACCCGGGCCACAGAGGTTACATCAAATGGGTAAAACCGCAGTTTAGCGAGCAGAAGATCAAAATCCACCGAATCAAAAGCTAGTGAATAATCCAAACCTGTGACAAAACTCTCCCAACCCCTCTCCTTAGCAGATAAACAGATCATCCATGATATTCAAGAGTGCAGAGCTCGTACTGAAACCTCGACGAAAGCCTGACTGAGTCTCTGGAAGAATATTCTCAGATTCTAAGAAACATGTCAACTGCTCAACAACAACCTTTTCTAATATCTTAGACATCACTGGGTGGATAGAAATGGGCCTGAAATACGAAACCTGGCCTATACTTTTTTTCAAACATTAGGAAAACATCCTGTAACCAAGGACAGACTTACTAAATGACAAATAACTTAGCACAGTACGGACTCAAAGATTTGATCATATCGACAGAAATTCCATATGTTCCCACGGCTCGGGTGGTGATATCGTTCATGACTGCCTTGATAATATCCTCAGTCACAGGTTTGAAAGAAAACCCCTTCATCACATCATTATTACTGTTCTGTTTATAAAAGTTCAATTTGTCCACACTAATACAATTTTATTGTTTTTATTAGGGCCTATAACTTTCCATTGTAGAGAAATATCAATTGAGTTCCTGAGGTGTAAAAGTGATGTTCCTCCAGTGATGTCTGGCTGACGCATCTTGTATGTAAAGAATGTCTGTAGGGTCTACTAACTAAAGAATAACTTGTAAGAGTTGTCTCTCTTCTTCAAACACTTCACAGTGAACCCATTCTCACAATGCTCTTCAATCTGACCAATGAAGTGGTATAGTACACATTATTTTTTTATTTTTGTAGCAAACTTAGTCAAAATGAAATCGTTTACGTCAAAAGATTGGTCTTCCAAAGGTGCAAAAAATCGTCTTCTTCTAGTGAGAATTCTTCAGGGCTGTCCCCTCCATCATCAAACTTCAGTTCATCCTCGGTGTCACTTGAGGCATTGTTCTTGTAACAAAGTTTCTTAGAAATGCCTTCAAATTTCATTTTTTTATTTTCCTTTCGTCCTGCACTATCTAATTTTACCTACAATAACCTCTAAACTCTCTCTAAACCCCTAAACTCTAACCTACTTACTTATGTTCAGAGTTGTAATATTTAATTTGTTAAATGGACAGTCTTCGGAAGAGTGACTACAATAATTGGCTTGTACATCTTGAACTTAACTTATCAACTCCGTGCCAAGAATTAATTTGTAAAACGGTTGTTACCTACCGTAAATAATTAATTAATAAACTAAGTAGTAAGTTAGCCTAGCTGTAATCAATAGGTACCTACTAAGAATTATCATAAAGCATGTATTTGCACTTTGTTTTACATCAGAACCAAATTATAGGCCTAGAATCATAATGTAATAAGTTAGGCCTAGCTCTAGGCCTACAGTACCCTAATGGGTAAAGTTGGATTGTTAACTTTTGCTTTAAAATTACAAATAACCCAATGATTGACTTGGCCTAATAATGGTTTCCAAATATTGAATGTCAATTCATTTTACGAGTCAATAGAGAATTTACTTTTAACAACTCAAACATTCATATTTTAGGCCAACAATAGGCCTACTTACTGAGGTCATTTAAACCGTAAAAAGGTTATGTAGGCCTAGGCTAAGAATATACCTACTCCATTAGGAACATTGAATTTCTTAGTTCACGTCAATTAAGTTAAAGGGTTTACTGACCACTTACCAATGGGATGAAGAATTTAGAGCAACACCTAATCATGTTTTATATAAATATTTAATTTATGACCAAGCTTCGGTTGAATTAACAATGGTAGTGTCGACTGTCGAGTGTCGAAATCAAGAAATTTAATGAAAAAAGACATGGATTTTTTTATACAAGGCAGGCAGACGATATATATACACTGCTGTAAACTGCACAAATTCAAATTGCAAATATGTATAATACCATATAGTCCGTCAGCCAAATATGAAGGGTTATTGGGTTCGTGGGGACGGGTCGCTGTCAATGCGCCACCACGTCAAACCGCCACCTCGGTGTTTTGGTCAGAGGTGACAACCCGCCACCACAAAAAAACCAAGGTGGTGGGTTGACGTATACGTACTGGGTCAACCCGCCACCTCAACAACAGGCCACCACGACAACCCACCACCACACAATTTTCCGAGGTGGCGGGTTGTCGTACACACTCAAGTCAATGAGCCACCACGACAACCCGCCAACACCAGTTTTTATCAGAGGTAGCGGGTTGTCGTGAAGCTACATGTTCGATGTCGGCAACGCGACGTCAACGCGCCACCTCGCTCATAGGCGACAACGTGCCACCTCGACAACCCGCCACCATGCACTCTTGTCGTAAATCGGTTGGATTTATATTCTGTAGCATTAGCATTAAATATATTGTACGTTGATTCAGTTAAGTTAGAGAAAGTTAATGAAACTCTTAAATAGCATTTCTGGACATTTTAGTTTATTTTCGGAAGAAAGATTGATAGGTAATACAATTATTAGCATGGTGAAAACCCGACATTTGAAAGGGTCTCACGCCCTTAAGGGTAGGAAGTATTCAATTGTAAAACCTTAATGCAAAATTACGAATTGGGCCGAATTTTTTAACACCTTAAACGTTGAAATTTGTCCACAAATAAGGGAGGAGTAGTGTTCACAAAAAACAGCCCACATGCACGTATTAATATGAGAGATGATAATGTATACCAAAAACAAAATAGAATATTTATTTTACTTAATTGCTAGTGAATAAACAATGTTTTTTTTCATTAGACGTATAAATATATATAGAAGTTTTTATGCGCACCTGCCACCACGTGCGCACGCAAAATACGTGTGAAAAGCATACATTTTATAAATTTAAACCGGCAATAGTCAGGGATAGTCTTGTGCCATATAATGGTGATTGCGAAAGCAAGACGGAAAGAAAATTGTATCCACTTGAATAAAACTTTGAATTCAAAAGGTAATTCGGGTATTTCTGTGATTAGCCCACGAATACTAGAAAAGACCCGGTATGGATTATAAATATAAACAAATGATGTTTAAAAAAATAGAACAACACCCCATTGCTCTGTAAGGTACCAAATTTTGAGGGGGGTAAAAACGTACTATGAATAAATGAACACCAGAACTTACCCGATTTTTAACCACAATAGCCTACTCCGAGGCCTATGTGTTGGCCATAGCTTGGGCTATGGGCCAAAGAACGTAGGCCTATTTTTATTCACAGTGAAGTACACAAACACATCCACAACTACATATTTTTCATAATAGCACTTCGTTTCACATAATAAAGTTAAACCGACCGATTTTACAGATATTTAACGCCGCCGACGACATAACCCCAAACTGGTGTTCATTTGTTTGACCAACGACAGACGACAACTAGACCGGCTCAACAGGTGAATTTCCAATCAGCTGTTGGCTAGTTCTCAAACTCACCACCAGAGCGATTAAGCCTCGACCGAGGAAATCATGATTTGAGCCGGACAAGGATTATTCGCTGTTCAACCGTCGACTTGTTCACGAGAAGCTCTGACGACTGTACGATATTATTACGAAGGTTAGCTACTATATTAGTTAGGCCCCTTTTTACGTTTTACGTTGTTTCTGTTTTACCTTACGCATACTTAACTTATTATACCTTTTCGTTTTCTTAATATTCCGTTTCGAATTATCTAAATTTAATATCTTAACTTGAGTCTTGACCCGCCAGTTCCTGCCTGCCAGTGACTAGCGGTGGCTATCGTTTATTTAATTACCATTAATTAGTTTCGAAATTACGATTTCTCCGTTCGCTTAACAAATAATTATCACGTCTAAAATTATATCTCGTTTTCACCGTTTTAATACCCCGAGACTTGTCGTCTATGTTCTAAACCCCGTCTTTGGCGGGTGAAAGAATCAAGTCTTGGGAGCAGCTGATTTGAACAATCAAACAGCTACGAATATTAATATTAAATCTATTTTAAACAACATCACGATAAATTCTCCGTCCAATTATATTAATTAGGCCCCGAAGACTCTGTAGGAATTGTTTTGCCTTTTATTCGATATTAGATCAATTACCAACGTCTTCAACTAATTAGTTTAAAGTTCATTACGAGTATTTAAATCACATTGGCTTAAGATTGAATACTCGTCGGCCCTACAGAGTCATTCTAAAAGTTAGGCAAAATTCTCCAAAGCACTTTTACGAAGGCTGGGATGATATAGCTCCAACTGGGCGTCTGCAGGATTTCCTGAGCGCTTCTAGAGCTCTGAGCCTTCGATTAAATTTTAAATAAATTGATCAGTCAAAGCCGTGACAACTTCGTATCGACCCCTGGATTTTTCTCGGCTCCTTCTGAGCACTCCGGGGAAGAAATTTGAGTGTGGCCGGTTCTAGGGGTAGGCCTAGCCTGACTTGGTGAATACTAGTTTATTCCCCCCCTAGAATTTTGCGTCACAGCTCTAATAATTATGGTCCAAAAGTTATTGCAGCTTTTGTGATTTTCAACTATATACTATGACCGCTTCCCCATGATAAAGGATGTTAACAAGCTTATGGGAGAAAGTATGTTTCAGAATGCTGATACCGTTTATTTTTACATTTATTTTGTTATTTCTAATGTGTGATATTAAGTAATCGTCCGTGATATGAAATAAATTGAATCACGTATATTGACGCTTTCAATTGGCTGAAGGCCACTGAGGCAGAGCCCTGATGGAATTTCAAAATGTTTTGTTTTATGGCAAATTTACATGTCACGACCCATCCAACGACACCTTAAACTTGATGATCGGATGTGTAGAATAAGAATAAGAATAAGAATCGTTTATTGCCATAATAATACAGAAATGTACAGGGCAAAGTCACTAAAACTAAACAAATAAAATCAGACCCATAAAAATAAAGATACAAACTTCAAGAGGTACATACTATTTACATTTTAAAAACGAAGAAACACTGTAAAATTCCCTATCAACTAAATATTTCCTCAAACCATGCTTAAATTTTTTTGAATCATGTTCGCCCTTGATTGAATTGGGGAGAGAATTGAAAAGCTGGATACACATGGAGAATGACTGTTTTTTTATGAAAAGCGGTACGGGATTTTGGAATAGGTAGGTCAAATTTATTTCTAAGATTGAAGCTGTGGTGAGATGACTCGTGAAAATGAAACATTGTTGAATTCTTTTTTAAGAATGACAAGGATTCAAAAATGAAAATTGATGGGAAGGTCAGCATATTATTTCTACGAAAAACGGATCTACAAGACTCTCTGTATTTTAAGTTGAAGATTAATCTGATTGCTCTTTTTTGCAGTTTGAATATTTTCTTAGTTTGGAGCTTGTCGTTACCCCAAACGGGCACACAATATGTAAGAAAAGGGTAAACAAGACCGTAATAAGATGTCAGAAGGACGCGTCTGTCTTGATAACAGGAGAGCCTACGAAGAAGGAAAGCACTCTAGTACTAAGCCTATTGTGAATTTTGTCGTTATGGCTGTGAAACTTTAGATTGCTGTCAATAATTACTCCCAAATATGTCACACTAGAAGATGAAACTATATTGATGTTGTCTACAGGTAAAATTAAAGATTCAGACGTGCTTGACGAATTCTGTCGTATACGAAAGTCTAAAAGTGACGTTTTCTGAGGATTAAGATGCAGAAAGTTCTCGGATAGCCATTGGAAGACAAAACTACTCTCAATAAATGTTTTGATCTCTAGCTGTGAATGATTTGGACTGGACACAATGAGGGAAGTATCATCAGCAAACAGTTGTAACTTAGAATTGGACACTACAGGAGGCAGATCATTGATAAACATTAAGAAAAGGACGGGCCCAAGAACAGACCCCTGTGGCACACCTGTACTTACAAAACGCTCATTGGAAATCTTGCTACACAAACAACCTAAAGAATCAATGTAAGGGACTTTAACAACTTGCCTCCGTCCCTTAACATATGAAGACATCCAGTCTAAAGCTACTCCGCGGATCCCCAATCTTTCTAGCTTATTCAGAAGTAGGCTGTGATGAACAACATCAAAGGCTTTTGTAAGGTCAAGGAATAAGCCGGAGACATAGTCCTTAGCGTCAAGAGAGTTGGAAATTTCGTTAACCAGGCTGAACACAGCATTTAGGGTGGAGTAACCTGTTCGGAATCCAAACTGATTTTGGTGGAGTATTTTGTTTTTTTCCAGGAATTTATTTAGTCTATTCAAAAAAATCTTCTCCATTACTTTGGAAAATGTTGAGAGAATAGAAATTGGCCTGAAGTTATTGCAGTCATGGCGGTTACCTTTATTCTTGTTTAATGGTTTGACTATTGAAAGTTTCAATGCTGCCAGAAATGTTCCACTCTGGAATGAACAATTTATTAGATAAGCTATAGGAGCGGCTAGCTCATCGGCACATTTCTTTAAGATTTTTGACGATATTTCATCCGTTCCTGAGGAATTACCAGGTTTTAGGGATTTAATAACATCTAGTACTTCCTTTATGTCAGTTGGATTGAGAAAAAGTGATGATAGGATTTTAACACCCTCTTTAGTACTATGCGCATTGGTATGCAGAAAGCTATATAGCTTTTAACTATTGGAAAGTGTTCCTCCAATACTAGTAAAAAATTCATTCATAGTATCCGCAACCAATTCTGGAGTATCCAGTAGTTGTCCATTAGAATCCAGAACCGACAACTTATTAAATGGCTTCTTCAATTTATCTGGCCTGAGGTCCTTTATTATGCTCCAAACTTCTTTTTGTATGTTATTACTGTTTGCTATTTTTTTAAGTACTGTATTTGCTTTCTGTAAACGTATTTTACTCCTAAACGCTTTTTTTTACATTTTTGTATGTTTTTTTAATAGGGTGTAAAGCATTGAGATCTTTTGAGAGAGTGTATAGAAAAATCATTTTTTCTCTGAATTTATTCAGCTCAGTATCTAGACATATTTTTGTTTTGGCCATACTTTCTTTTTGTTTACATCTTTTAATTGGCAAAGCAGTATTCAAATAGAACTGTATTGTGGATAGGAATCGGTCGAATTTTTCGTCTACGGAATCAACTTCAAGTAAATCTAGCCACTTTTCTCTACTCAAAAGATACTTAAATGTAGATATGTTTTCTTGATTAAACTTTCTTACCATTTTATATTTAATTGTAGTTTTATTCTCTGGACATTCTTTTATTTCATCAAGTTGGGCGTGATGATCTGAGATACTTGTTATTAGAACCGACGAATGGAATAAGTGTTCAGGGATATCAGTAAAAATGTTGTCAATTATGGTTCTAGAGCCTTGAAACTCTCGTGTAAAGGACTCAAGACTCAACTGTGTCTCAAAGACGGAATGACAACATCAGATCTATGAGTAGCTTTGCGGAGGGAAAATTTTTGTCGGTCAAGTCAATATTAAAGTCTCCTGCAACAACAAATAGGTTCTTATCCTTCAAGGAATCAAAACATGCTCGAATGTTACTTAAGAATTTTAGAATGTCGCTTTGTTTATTGCTTGGAGATCTATATATGTGTAGCAGTTTCAAAACAATAATCACAACATTTGGGTTGGCCAATTAAATATTTAAATTATGATGATGATGATGATTATGTGTATGTAGGTAAATGTATCCTTGACTAAACAATTTTCACAATGTGCAGTATATCGTATCTACATAGGTTAAAATAATATTACTGATTAATTTGAACCTTAATTACGCATCAAGCAGTTTCATTATACAGTGTGTAAATTAAGTCTTTAAACAAATCTGTATTTTCTAAATTGAAATAGATAGAAATATTATGTTTGTAGCATTGATTTCTAAATAAATCTATTGATCTGCAGAAGAATTGTATTAAGCTCTTATCGTTTCTAATAACATCCAAACACAGAAACCTTGCCTAAAATAGTACCTATCTTGACAAATTATTTGCAGCGGCCTATATTACGGACCGTAGCCCACTGGGTTGATTTCATTATTAAAAATAACACGACATTTTGGCTTTAAAAATGGCCCATTGAGTAAATAATATTTAAACAGCTACTGTCATGACAGAAAGGTCATGTTCCTTTTAAACTAGACAACATCATCCTTTATAAGATACGTTGATTAACAATGCATGTTTTAAACGTCAATATTTACGTGACAGCCAATTTACATTATTTTTGCTTTTTGGAAATGCCTCATTGCTATGTCGTTTGCATCATTTGTTGCCAATGAAGCCGCATGAACATATAAATGAGGAAGCCCCTAACAGTTCAAGAATAAATGCCAACTTCACTTCAAGTATATTCCACTACACCTAACATTCCGTAGAGAGATTATATTGACAACTTTATCTAATTTATAAGGCTAATGTATAAAACGTTAAAATATTGTAGTTCTGAGCAATGTACATACAAAACTCTTATTTTATTTATATAGATGATACTATAGGGGAGTATGTTTTATCTATGATACTAGCAAATTACAAAATACAGTAATAGTAGAAAGGGAAAAAACATCAGTTGTTTCAATAATTGAGCAATGATTACAGTGAATATTACGTGATATTACTCGATATAGGGGTACAATGGAAATAAACTGTACATTAATACTTTAAATTGAAATGGTGACTCAGAGAGTTAGATTGGCGTGATCTTGTAGTCTTGTTACTGACTAAAGCCGACATGTTCCTTATTACTATCCTGATGATTAAATTAGACCAATTCGTAAATTAAAAAGCAAAAATGTGGTTTGGATTCCACTATTAAACTATGTAGGTCCCTTAGTTGCCTTTGGGCAGTATGGACTATTTTAATTAACTAACAGTTTAACAGTCCTGTCTAAAGCACGGGTCACACTAGACTGGCATCAGCGGCGAATTGAAAGAAGCCGCTACTGTCAGCTTGATGTGACCATAAAATTCGCAGCTGGCACCGTCAGCCGGCGAGTACTTGTCAGCGGCTGGCGAAGTTGGACATGTTCAACTTTTGGTAGCGAGGCAGCGGCGAATAGAGGTCACGTGACAACTCGCACTCGCTGACGCCAGCGAGCAGCGTAGTCTGACCACTTTTTAGAAGCGTGACAGCGGCGACCAAAGATAATTTCCAACTTGGTTTAACAACACAAAAGGACAAAAGCAACTGTTTCAATTTTTTAATTAGAGGTTTAACTAATTTTAGTAATGCCTGGAATGTATGTGATAGTGACTGGAGACATTCGTAAAACATTTTTGTATGTTTCTGATTCTATTTTTAGTGCGTTTAAAAACGTGGCATTTTTAAAAAGTATTTTTAACTTATTTATAAATTATTTGTATCCATGGCCTGATCCACTAACGTCTCTTCTTGCGGTTAAGCATCTTTTAATAAAATTATTTCTCTTTCATACATCCTCAATTCAATATTAAGTAGTGCTGGATGAGGACCCAAAAAAGGACGAAATGGCGACAAGAACTGAGTTTTAAACTAGGCGATTAAAGTAGTATTTGTAGCATAGAAATTACTGAGCTTAGGTGGTCGGGGAAGCAGGTTAATGAATTGAGGTTTAGGTTAATGAAGATTTCTTTATTCCAAAACTAAACGTACAGTACTTGTGGGACGTTTCTTAAAAGAAGTTAAAACGTCAAATAAGCAGCTTACAGTGATTTGTTACAAAACCTCATAGCTGTTCTGTTCCTTCTCACACATCGTTAATATCACGATCACCAGCGGCTAACAAGCAGCCTAGTGTGACCCGTGGAAAAGCCGCTGCTTGGTGGTGCTGGTGCCAGCCGCTGATCACGAGCGGCTGCCGAGCAGCCTAGTGTGACCCGTGCTTAAGGGAAGTGATTGTTTTTTTTTTTTATCCATAGACAGGACTGTTAAACGTTAAACTGTTAATAAAAATAAAAATAGTCCATACTGCCAAAGGCAACTAAGGGACCTACAGTTTATAGTGGAATCCAAACCACATTTTTGCTTTGTAATTTACGAATTGGTCTAATTTAATCATTATTATCAGGTACTTTTATACATACGTGCAGCATCCAAATATAGAATCTTTGAGTTTTTCATTGAGTTGTCTTTGCTTTGATTGACCAATAGCATTTCACCGTAGCACAAAAATTCTTTTCTTTTCAAACCGTCAAATTTTGAATTCTTGAATCTATCTAAGCGAAACCGTCAAACCGAAAGAAAGAGGGAAAAACAAGAAACAAGGGCGGTTGTTTTCATTCATGTTTTGTTTTGTTCTATTTCTATTAGGTTTAGGACTAGGAGGTGGCTTGTGGCTTCTGGCTTGTTGAGTTGAAGTTCGTAGGAAGTGTTAAGAGAAACCGTATAACTATTCACATTATTTTTTTAAGTACTATTAGTTAAATAGGTATAAATCTGATTATACAAGAAGTATCCAGCAGGACGTAGCAATAGTAATGGTCATGGCGGTTTGAGTTATTGGATCATTCATCATCATGTCAGAGCAACATCGTGATGAAGGTAAGCCAAAAAGAACCTCAACCTGTTCAAAATAGACTGATGACTAGATTAAAATGATTTTACTCGTTTTACGCCTAATAAGGGGATTCTTTACCTAGGCCTAAATTGGAGCCTATCTGGTTACCTTTTAGCCAAGTTAAACTTTTTTTAACTTTTTACCGTTAGGCTAGGCCTACCTACTTTGACATTTATTGAACGTTGTTTTATTATCCTTACAGTATTTGTTCTAAGTCATTAGAATTGGTTTGCTAAATCATTCTCTTTAAATCATGCTCTGCCGTTGGTATGTATGGATAAATAAATAAACCCTGATTTTCCTGGTTTACGAAATGACTTAAACTCGATCTTTACTCATTAATTTAACTTAGGCCTAGGCCTAATTGGTTTTTGTTGGCATATACAGTAATCATTTAGACATTCTTCTAAATATCTTATTGGGTACACTTCCATATCTGTTGGCACAAACAACCGAATGAGTAATAGGCCTGTTGACAACTTGCAATTATTTGTGAATCAAGAGGTGGACTATTTATTATTTATTTATTATTTATTATTTACTTTGAATTGTAAGTGACTTAGCCTATTTCTTTTGCTTAATGGCCAAATAAATCATTGAATCATTGATTATTCAATTGCTTAATTCGATATATCGATCGATATTTTCATTTGGTTATTTGTGCCATCAGATGTGGAAGTGTAAGTTACCGGTAGGCTACCCATATTATAGTTGGCTTGACGTTAACTTAAAAGTTGTAGGCTAAACAAAAACTGGTCTAGGCTATACTGTTAACATGTTCAGTAAATTTTTTAGTTATCTCAATTTCACCAACATATGTTAACAACAGGCCTAACTTAATATGAAATTAGGGATGAGCATTGGTATTCTAGGTTTACTAAAAACTTGCAATGGCCTTCAGGGTTCAAGTGTAATTAACTTCTCTATATATAAATGTGAAATTCCGATCAACGCACAGGCCAAACCATAGCACCTAGAAGCATGAGATTTTGCATACACATTCTCCTCTTGTAGGCTATCGTAGGCAGACAATAAGAAGCAAATTTACAAAATTCCCAATGGGGCCCGCCCCACAGAAGGTCAAAGTTACCGTGGAGTTCATATAGGAAGAATAATTTGTTTTGGGTTTTTGTTTACATTTGTCTGCAATTTATTTAATGATCAGCTGTTAGAATAAAAATTAAGTTTACTAAGGTTATTTCGGACCATATAAACATCATAGGCCTAGTTGTGTGTCAGTGAAATTAACCTAATTTATTGTGGCATTTTAATATGATCAACTTCTAATATGTGTTATTAGTGTTGTAGAAAGTAGAATAGAACTTATTATTTTATAGCATTTTAATTTGTAATAACTTATGATACCGGTATAGGTAGTTCTGTTAATATTTTTGTAGTTATGGACACTGAGGATGTTATTGGTGAGTTCGTTCCACACAATATCATTCACATCCAGAGGAGATGGTGTGTGTTTATTTACTTCACTCTTATTCATAATTCACCTTACACACATACCTACACACACTAACTGTGCGCGAAGTAACTGTTGCACAGTAGGTCTATGTTGTGAGGAACTGGGACAACGTCTCAATCTTACCCCACGACAGGGACGGAAATAATTACCTTAATTCCAGGGAATCCTTTTATGAAATGTCTAAGCCGTTTACCTTTGGTGGGTTGTGTAAGCTGGTTGTGGCTTCACAACTATTTACATTTTATTTCGAGATTTATCGGAATGGTGAATTACCGTCTCCCCAGGCTATATGTCAAGTTTGGTGGTGAACGTTTTCCTGTGAAAATACTCAGATTTACACTATCCCTGTCTTGCGGGAAATCCCGTGAAAATACTCAGATTTACATAATCCCTGTCTAGCGGGCACTTCGACTTTTTAGAGCTTGAAAAGAGCCAGTTTCTCCCAATTGTCAGCCGATCGGACCGTAATCTCAACAAAATACATCAAGGCGTAAACGGCTTAACAGCTGCACAGATGAACAAAGGAAAAAGTAGGTGAAGAACGCAAGCAAAAGTATGAACAATCTTGAAAGACCAAAGATTCAATGGATGGTGAAAAATCTATCAGCAATGACATATAATAAGAAAATAGACTATGAAGGAAATAGCTTGGATGGGATAGCCACCATGACGTTCAAATGTAAGTACAGCGAGGCATTAAAATGAAAAGGAGAAAAACAGGGCATATGCTGCAATGATGGTAAAGTGCAACTACTATCTTTGCAGCACCTACCTGAACCATGCAGTCTGGTCATGGGCAACAATCCTGAGCATACCTACACACTTTATGGACCGGGTGAGCCAATATAATAGCTGCTTTAATATGACATTGTTTGGAGCAAAACATTTTGTAGCTGAATTGACTGAACGTTTTTGGCACTTAAACAATCATTTATTAAAAATGTCAACCAATTTGAAAGTTTCCGTTGCGAAGCACGGGTATTCCGCTAGTTGTGTTACAATGGATGAGTATTCATAACTTGGTATTTGTTTACTTACTTTATAGGGGCTTCTAAAGGATTTTGAAAAAAATGTTTTGTATTTGGCCTATTTTGAACACTACATTTGACACTTTTGGAGCAAACGCCTATTTCACCCTGAAAATCGCTTTTAAAAATCGCTAAAAGTGCTAAAAATCAGTGAGGGTTTTTCTTTAAATTTACTAGGCTATTACTTCTGACATTCACTTTTCCCCTCTGGAACTTTTTTGGCAATTTTTGTTTTGTGATATGAACATCCTGTATCTTTCTTAGAATTGGCTTCAAATCAAGAGGAGTGCAACATGGACAAATCGGAGAAAGAGACAAACGAATCAGCGTTTGAAGAAGAAACTCTTCAGATTACAGATGTTCACGTAAGTGTTACATTTATAAGTTAGTAGCATATTACATTAACCCTTTGAGTGTTGTGACGTCTTGCTCTGAGATGCTTCATTGTCATAGCTTTCAGAAGGGTTTAAGATGCAGTACAGTAGCATTTTTAGCATTTTGCTATACCCAACTTAAAAACTATCTTCTAAGCTACGTTGTTTTTGCAGGCTAAGTTATAACAAATTTGCTTCAAATAAAATTGAAGATGTAATGTTCAAACATGTTATATAACTAGTATTTTTTTTTTCATGCTTAAAGAATACTGTTTTTGCTACAGTTGTGTGAGTGTTTGTAGCATTTTTGCTAGAACAAATTTCATCCCAGCCTATACCCTGCTTAGACTGCCAAGCGTCTTGTAACGAGACAGCCAAGGTTGCACGAGAGATACCAGCCTCCTGGAACTAGTGCATCAGAAAATAACTTCTTATAGTACAGTCTAACCTTGGTATAACGAACCTCGATATAACGAATTCCTTGATATAACGAACTTTTTTAAATCCCCTAGAACTCTCCATAAGACACAATGTATATTTTACCTCTACATAACGAACAATCCATATCAACGACCTTGATTTAACGAATTTTTCATGATCCCGGCTAAAATAAGACACCTCAATATAACGAATTTATCATTGTCAGAACCTCTACATAGCGAATTTAACCTCTACTTAACGAATTGTCTGTGTCTCTCCCTCCATACAACGAACCCCCGACCACCATTATTGCTTTTGAAAAATCTGTTTCTTCATCAAATGAAATGGAAAGGTGACGTCAACGCTTGCGCTTTACATTTGTCTGCTCCGTTTTACACATCCCTGTCCGCTGTCGTCGTTGCATGCGCGCTATGTTTACAACTAACTGAGAACTGATTTCATTAACTGGGGACTGATGACGACGTAATGTGTAGTAAGCTGTGATTGGGTGATAAGTAAATATGGTGAATTGTACAATTTTTGGATGAAGAGAAACCTTAGAAAGAAAAAGAATAGAAGATCAAGGCAAAGAAAAAGAATAGCAACATCGTTATCTTAACATTCCTTTTACGAGTGTTTTTATTATCTTTAAGTTGGCTATGATTATACACTTGTATAACGACTTAGCCTATCTAATATTTTTATTATTTTCAATATGATTTGTACTAAGTTCATGATTATTACAGTACATTCCTCTATTGTGATTTAAAGCAGTACTGTAGCCTACCACCGGCCTATCACGAGCAGTAGCTTACAAAACTCTCTACTGTTTTGTTTTGTTCTTTACGTGGTTTATCGCTATGCAATAGGTACAGTGTTTGGCTAGGTTTTAGGTGGGTTAGAGTAAGCTGCGATTTTAAACTTACAGTTTGTAACCTGTACCAAGGTCAATGACTAGAAATGTCATGATTGCGCAATATTAAAGATCCCTCCCCTTTTAGTACCCCGGATAATCGAGGTTCTACTTTACAATGTAAACACTGTACACTGTAAAGTGTTGTAGCCTATGCTACTTTAATTGTGTTTTAATGAGGTCCAATCCCGACCTTTATAGACTGATGCTGGTTCTGAACCTCCACTTAGCGAAATTCCTGCAAACCTAACCTCTATATAACGAACCTCATTTTAACGAATTCCTCGGTATAACGAATATTCAGTTCGGTCCCTTCAGATTCGTTATACCGAGGTTGGACTGTAACTAGCTGGCCTGACAGACGTCATCCTGTCCTGTATGTGGTTTAATGTCAAATGCACGTTCATTTTCAAGATGAGCTCATTTCCATTGCTCAATCACGTCCTGGTTGAAGTTCGTTCGCTACGCTCACTCACCTCTAGGTTGTAGCTCGTTCGCTGCGCTCACTTGCCTTCAGGTTAGCTCATTTGCTACGCTAACTCGCCTCCCAGTTGAAGTTCGTTCGCTACGCTCAATCACCTTTTGGTTACAAATCAGCTGTTATATAATAACAAAAAAATAATAGTGCTGCACCCTGTTGGTAAACATATTAACATTTAATGCTATTGAACATCACAGAATCAAATTGTTTAGTTGAACCAGCTGTTAAGATTCTTTAATTCCATTTAAATATGAGTACAGTAGAACCCCTCATATCCGGCCTTAGTTTTACCGGTCCTCTGTTTATCCGGCCCCTTCCAGGAAGCCAATATCAAAATTTTTTTCCCACAGCTAACAGACGTTTAGATGCAAGCACTAGTCTTTGTGACTGCTCAAGTCATAAAATAAATTGTTCTCACTATTTATCTGTTTGCTTATACATTTATTTGCTGAGTCACTATACTCAGTTGAGCTAGTAGGCCTAACCTCTGATCAGTTGGTTGATTATTTCCAAAGTGGGTTTAAGTACAGTACAGTAGGAGTACATTAATTTTTGTATTTCACAAAATGGTTAAGAATGTTGAGTACAAATGCAAGTACCATTTAAGTCCTAATGATCTTTAAGTACAATTTATTGTCATTTTTACCTCCATTTAAGGGTCATTCTCACATAAAAAGACATTTCAAAATAAGAGAAAAAAAATAATAAAATAAAAAATATACAAAAATACTGGCTGGAGTTTGTTTACCAATACCTTTAAGAAACTATATCTAAAGCAGCAGAGCTGAATTTTATAATTTTCTATTTATTCTCTATTTTTTTTTATGTATCATAAAAAAAAAAGCGTCATTTCGGTCGCCGATGATCAATGGTAAAAAAAAATGTAAAAAAATAAAATAAATAACTCAATCAACCATATAAACGTATTTGGAATGTATTGAGGTTCTTAACTAATATAATGGATATTTGAATTAAAATAGTTAAATGACTTTAATTTCATAAATTTGGGCCAAACATTAAAAATTTAAGTCTTACAACAACCAAAAACTCAATAAGTCTGTAAAAAAAAGAACTTAGAGAGAACGTTTTACACCAAATATTAAAAGACTTCTGCAATTGTTAAACTGGATATTTTAATATTTTTTTAATTTTAATATTAAGGGGTATATTTCCACTAAATTATCGCCGACCGAAATGACGCGGCGGCGACCGAAATGACGTGGCGGCGATCGAAATGACGTGGTAGCGACGAAAATGATGCAACCGCGATCAAAATAAACTTTTTAGGGGTTTATCGTAAGAAATAAATATGGTCTATAGTAAAATAAACAATCTGTGATTTGATAGGACATTTATTTAACAAACAATACCATGAATATATGACATGAGAACATTGAAATCATTTGAATCGCTTTTAAACATTGAACTTGTATTTAAATTTGTAGTAAATTCTATCTCCCTTCATGATAATGTTCGGAGATGGTAAAACGGCAACAATTTGACTGATGTAAATCATGGAAATGTCTTTATTGTTGACATAAAACAAACTGTTGTCACATTCTACACTTTTCAGAAACATAACTTCAACTTCGTCATTGATTACGTTGCTTTGAGCTACAGCAAGATGTCGTTCAACCTTCTGTTTCTTTTTTGCTTTTCTGCTTTCAGTACCCAACTCAACTAAGACAAAGGTATTTATTTTGATACGACTTGTCGGTTGCAACAATTTGGTAGAATCGGTAGAACCTGATGTTGAACTTGTTCCTGGAAACGGGTTGTTGCTTCCTTCCGCGAAGTCATGGTCGTTAGTTGCACTTGTTCCTGGAAACGGGTTGTTACTTCCTTCCACAAAGTCTGGGTCGTCAGTTGAATTTTTTCCTCCAATCGGGCTGTTACATCCTTCCACGAAGTCAGGGTCGTCTGCGTCGTCATCAGAGTCAGAAGGATGTATGGACTTCCAATACGGCCTACGATCTATTTTGGGTTTTATAGGAAAGAATTCTTCGTCTGAGTCACTTAAAAATTCTTCAGCTAGCTTCACTAGAGGACGTTTCAGGTTAGTCTTCTTTTTAGGGTGGGTGATTTTGTTTGTCAATAAGTAATGGTCACAGCACTATAAAATCATCGGGCACTTTAAGCAAGAAATAGTTTTGTAAGACACTTCATCGTTACAGAATACGACCTGCCTTACTTTCATAATCCCTTTTATTGGTTCCACTTTTTCTTTGCTAAGTTTGAGTTTCATTTCTTCTACACATCTTCCTTACTTATTTCGAGCAGTTGGACTTTACTGTTTTTAATGTTGCCACGAAACTTGCTGCATCTTCTATATCTTCGCCATATGCTATCCGCTGGTCGGCCTCTCTCTTCAAACACCCTCCCACCCCATCCATCGGTCCTTTCCCATGTCCTGCCTCAGTATAATTCCAGGACATGAGCTTGACGTTTGGGAAAATGTCTGGAACCAAAGTCTTCATCAGGAACATGTTATTCTTGTTCCTATATTGGCTACTAGGTGAATCGCTGAAGAAGTGTACAGCTTCAGTTCTTGGATGTTCAATAGCTGATTGCATCAGAATTGGCTTCATATGAGCCCACACAGCGTGTGACTGGTGGTCCAAGTGGTCTGACGCTGTAGCAAATGATTTTGCTTCAACAGCTCTCTCCCCACGGAAATACATGACTCCAGTATTTAGGCAAATCTGTTTTTTTGATGCCCCAAAGTGGGCGGATTGAACTTCCTTATTATGTTTAGCAACATAATTCTCCGAAAAATCAATTCAGAATAAGAGTTCTTCATGACCCAAATTTTCAATCTTGTCTTTCAGCTGTTTTGCTTGGTGGTAGACATGAAAAATGTGTTCCTTGAAGTCAGTCAGTTTGGCATTGAAAACCTCTTCTATTTTAGAGGCTGCGACGATTTCTTTCGATTTTACCGTTTTCGTTATAACTTTCTTCTTCCCCCTTATGGTCCTCTCTTCTTTGATTGTCTTCCATGCAAAGTACTTAATTCTAAAATCTTCTTCATAGGTGAATTTGATTTTCTTATATTTACAAAGAGCGCATTTTCCCTTCATGCATTGTTCAGATTTAGTTGAACAAACAACTTTTTGTATCATCTCTGTGATATTGCGTTCTTGAATTACATTATTTTTCTTTAATGCTTCTAGCATGAGC